CTCGGATTGGATGATTGGATACAGCATCCGAAACTTTGTGCTGAACTAGCAGGAACCAAAGTTCGCTGGATCCGAGGGCTAGCTTCTTTGCCCGCTCCTCTCCCACGGTAGCAGCCAAGGGGGGCCTACGCTACCACACTTGGTTCAAAAAATATAGCTAGGAAAAACTTCACCTAGCTGTGTGGAGAGCTGAGTAGCATGAGAGCATGGTTTCTCGGAGGAGGTCTAGCACATGCTATGAGCACGCTTGCTGTAGCGGACGGCCCCTGGCCCCACCCTAGCCGACTCCCGCCACCCCCTTGGACGCTCTCACTCTAGCTCTCCTCTTCTGTCTGGCTGCCGACATGTGTGTAGCGAGACTGCAGACAGAATGCATGTGTAGCGGCAGCACTGCGGAACGCTGCCCTGCTGTTTCACTGCTAGCGGTCGGCAGCGAGTAGCGCTGCAAGAGTAGCGGAGGAGTTCTCCTAGCGAGGAGAAACCCTAGCGGCCACCGCGCTCTTCTCCTTTGGAAAACTTTTTGCAGTCATCGCACAGGCGGCTAGCGTGGTCATCGATCTTGAACCACATGCGGCGATTACACGCCTGTAGCCCACACTCTTCACATGTGACCGCGCACCTAAAGATGCAAGTAGCATCCTAGCACCATCCGGAAGGCTGCACCATCATCTGGCCTCGTACCATGTAGTACTCACGCCACACTCCATCTACCATCGCATGACCAAAAGCTGGTGCTCCCATCACTAGCCGCTCACTAGCCCTCCTCCACTCACATTCCATCAGGCTCCGACTGCTGAGGCAAAGCCTGAACACACCTTCTGTGTACTGGAAGGCGCCATGTTCTGCAATGACCCAGACATACACTGTGAAGACACCTGCTGTGTACTGAAAGGCGCCATGTTCTGCAACGACCCAGACATACACTGTGAAGACACTTGCTGTGTACTCGAAGGCGCCTGCAAGGATCCAGACAAACACAGAGACTCGGTTGCCTGCAGCGGCCTTGTAGTAGCCGCCCTAGAGAACTCAGATGCCTGCAGGGGGTCTGGTAGAAGACGCCCTTGGAAGCTCCGCGGTCCGCTGATCAACCTCACCAAGCGGCCATCTCTCCACTTCCATCGGTCCAGACCAGTCTGTTCCCATTGGAAAGCAGCGCCAGTGGAACACTGGCCCCGAGAGCTCCACCAGGCACTCCTCGTCGAGCCTCTTTCGCACGAAGGGCTGCCGTGCCACTGCTCGCCATCATCTTCGCCGTCGGTGCGAGCGGCCTCCACTCGAAACCAGGAGGTTGCACTCAAAGCCAAGACAAACATCCTGCCACCCAGCCGGTCCAGTTCATCCCAACTTGGACGCCCTGCAGGAGCGAATCCTCATCGGTGCTGGTTCACAGACTCCTCAGATTCCGCTGTTATCGACCGGCGGGAGCAGCTGCACGGCCCCTCGCGGGGACCGCAGGTGCCGATTCACGGCCCCCCCGCGAGGGCCGCCGCCGCCGCAACCTGTCCTCTACGACGACTCGCCAATGATCAAAATCGGCCTCCTAGTGTGAGACAGCTTCTATGTGTCGTGGATGCTAGCTCAGAGCCCGCCCTCTTGGGCGCCTATGCACAGGATATACTGGTTCCTCGCTGCAGCCGGAGAGTTGCTGGTGGAACTCTGGGAGCTTCTTGTTCCGCTTGGCGGCGGAAAAAGGTGTTAGCAGGACTGAGGCCGTACAGTTTTCCATTTTCTTTGTGCAGTTTGCGCGTCCGGCTGCCAGGTGGACCGTGGAACCCTCTTCTCCCAGGTCGTCCTGGTACTTGGGCAGCCCTTTTTGGGTGCCGGCTCTTAGCTAACCACACGACGGCCCCTTCTAGGGTGCCCTGTACACTGCCAGGCCGGTGCTCGGTGGATCTCCTCAGGCTGGGTCACCGTATGGTCTGGATTCGGCCGGTCACCAGGCTGGCCAACTTCTTGGCTTCAAGACCTGTATGCATTGCAGTCTCCTGCAGAAGGGGTGCCCAGCCTACTAGCAAACCTTCCCCCGTTGCTGCCATGGCGACGGACAGGGCCGAGGGCGAGAACCCGGCCCGACGGCACGCGCAGGCGGACGAAGGGGGAAATCGAGGCATGGGCCAAACGCGCAGCTGCCCGTGCCAAGGCAGCCGCAGTTACTGAGGACCGCGGCCCCGCCAGGGAGCCGAGCGGAGGTGACGACAGCGCCACCGAAAAAGCGCGCTCTGCTGGTCTGGAAAATACAACCATGGAAACCGTGGAGGTCGAGGTGGCCGCGACCAGCTCCGAGGAGCAACTAGAGTTACCCCAGTTGTCCAGGGAGAAGCCGGCCCCCGTAAGGGGAGCCGAGAGAGCCCACAGGAGCGACTACAGAACCAGCTATCGATCACGCTCGCCTGTGGCACGTGGCGACCAAAGGGCTGCCCTCAAACGAGGCACATCATCGCAGAGCTCCAATCCATCTCGGCACAGTTTCTGCTTCGTCTGCCACAGGTCGGTGCCCTGAAGGATCGCCAGTACGAGACGGCTCGGGAGTTGACCCCAGCGATCCGGTCCTCTTTCGAAGTCATCCGAGCTGTCCAGTCTATCTGTATCTGTATCTGTATCTATATCTATATCTATATCTATATCTATATCTGTATCTATATCTATATCTATATCTATATCTATATCTATATCTATATCTATATCTATATATATATATATAGATATATAGATATATATATATATATATATATATATATATATATAGTATATATACACACATATATGTATGTCTATGGCTGTTTCAAGCACATTTTGTCGTGCTTGCGGCTGAATTTTTACTCCCCAAATCTACTCCCCAAAATTACTCTCCAAAATTTACTCCCCGAATTTACTCGCATGCGAATAAATTTACTCCCCAAATTTATTTGCATGCGAGTAAATTTACTCCCCAAAATTTACTCGCACGCGAGTAAATTTACTCACCAAAATTTACTCATGCGAGTAATTTTTTGCGAGTAAATTTTCTGCGCCGAAAAAAATTTTCGCATTTTTCGGCTAAATTCGTTTTGGGAGTAATTTTATTCGCATCGGATCTTTCAGGAAGTTTCGCCTGAGTCAGATTTCGCGCTCGCTGCAGTACACGACTGGCTTGCTGACAAGCCTAGTCACTCGTGTGGATCGAGTCTGTAAGTGGTTCGATGGCCTTTCCGGAGACATTCGAGGAGCGACCCGAGGAACCGCCTGAAGAAGAGGAGGCGTTGTGGATCTCTGAGGCCTGGCTCGCTGGCTTCCGAACGCGGCTCCGGCTCCCACAAGGGGCCGCGGCTGCACGTGGCAGGCTCGGGCGTTTGAGAGCAGCCGTGGGCTGCTTAGAGCTGGGCTTCTTCGCCACCCGGCTTGAAGTACTGCCAGACGGTCTGCGTCGGACTGTGGCTCCCATGCTCCCCTACGTGTTGGATCTAAGGCTGGTCCCTGGCTTGAGCAGCTGTTCCGCAGGGATATTGATGAGACCTCACAAGCAGCCAGGTAATGAGACAGGCGTTCTCCAAGAAGGGCCGGCGCGACGAGAAGGTGGTACAGGAAGACGAGGCATTCCAGAATGACCTGAGTATCATGATCTGCATTGCCAGTACAGCATGTTGAGGCTGCAACGATGCACGGTGAAAAAGAAGATCGCCCACCTCGTGGCTTCGCACTGGTGTGTGATAGCACTAGGAGGACTGAGTAAGCCGCTCCTGCTGGACCTGAGGCAGGGTATCCAGCAACCCTCGCACCCCTCGCCTGATAGACGGGGTGGTGACTGGTAACACTGAAACGAGGCCCGGACTTGGGACCGGGTTCGGCTCGGACCGGCTTCCATCCGGGGAGCCGTCGATCTAAGGCGTCGCAGAGGCCAACGCGAGCAGCGCGCTCGCAGCCATGCCATGATCTAAGAATGCGACGCAGGCTCCCGGTGCCAGGGCCGCCGGTGTCGGCAAGCTGACTAGTCCATGGTGTGCAGGTCCAGTGCAAGAGCTCCTCCAGACGTCTGAGCCAAGGACGGGCCCTGCACAGCACCCTGGAAGGGGCCGTAAGTGGCATCATGCTTGCGCTGGGCGTGTGCTGTGGCCAGTGCGGCAAGGTGATCGTAAGCTCGAACTGAGGTGCGACCACGCCTCGCCTTTCGCTTAGGGCCCAGCCTGGAGAGCATAACACACT